GCCATATGACAAGCATGTCAATTTCAAGACAAATTGGACTTCGAAGTGAATGTAAATGCAGCATTAATCTCTAGGGATTTAAAATGATTTTGAATTCCTTTATGGTGCATTTACATTCACTTCAAAGTCCAATTTGTCTTGAAATTGACGTGCTTGCCATATGGCGACAGCACAGATCCATATACATTGAAATAAATTTGAAGCTCACTTCGAAGTGCACTTCAAATTTGGGCGAGCTGCTTGCCGAAGGCAAGGAGAAATTTGTGGAATGTCAAATTTTTAAATTCTCATAAAATTCTGACGTTTTGACTTGATGGTTTTTCTCAATTTCCAATATCCAAATAAACGGAACAAGCAAAAAAAAAGCAATCATGAATATTTGGTTAGACGATGGAAGGCAGGCTGTCGGTAGTGAAAGTGAAAATTACGGAAATATCCAGGAAAATATTGAAAATTATTATATTGTTGATGAAGACACAGAAGACATTGCTCAGGATACTCAGGAATCTGAAAATAATTTTTCTCTCGGTGAATTTTTGCATAAAAATGGCACACATAATGAAAAAAGACTTTCAAAACATGTAGAACTCATACGAGTGAAATTGAAAAATAGTTCTGGGCTACTTATTTTTAATTTCCGAATTAAGTTATCAAAAAAACCTTGTTCTTTCCTTTGTAGGAAAATATTCCTAACCCATATTGATCTTTTTCTGCAGGGGGGTCTTTTTTTCTTATTTTTAGGTGCAAATCACCCAAAACAACCGCAAACGTTCCCAGAACCACAATTTTTTTCTGATTCTCCATGTCCATATTCAAAAATTCAAAAACTTTCAAACCTACAGAAAACGCAAATAATAAACAAACCTCGATCAACCTGAGTGAATTTTGACAATTTTGTTCTGCAATGTAAATGATAAAATATCAAATGTCAATTTTAACTTAAAGTTAGAAGTGAATGTAAATGCTCCTTTAGAGTAATATTCTTCTAGGAACTAAAGTGGCACTTTTAATCTCTACAGATTTGAAATTAATTTAAATCCCTCGGGAAATACCTACAATTTTTTTTAATTTGTTTTTTTTTCTATCCTCAGGTGTGTACCATCGTCACCAAAAGTATCTGGGACACAAATAATGCATAATAATCTCCTGGACTAATTCTACTGTCATTCATTTCAATGCATTTAATTCATAGTTTGACAAATATTTGACAATAAAATTTATATAATAGGACAAGAGCTAATGTGATGCTGTCCCAGTTACTTTTGGTGACGATGGTACATAAAATAGTATAAAGAGTGTAGGTATTCGTGACTGGCAACTTTTTATATAGCCCTGAAAAAGAAAATAAAATTTTTCGAAAGTTTGTTGTAGCTAAAAAAGTTTTGAGACTTTTATTTAGCCCTAGACTGATACCCCACAAAATACCTTCCATTTAAAATAGTATATGTAGGCATAAACCTTGGGACTAAAGTGTCTTTTTCTCCCTTGACAAACAGTGGCGTAACTTCAAATCCGGGGCCCCCCGCAAGGATTTTCCCGGGGCCCATCTCTTATGTATATTTTTTTTTCTTCTAATTTTTCTTTATACAGGGTGTCCGTTTTAAGTAATACCACTATTGCTATCTCGGAACCGGTAAGAGTGATGAGGGATGAGGTCGGTCAAATTAGATAAAAGTGGCAGATTTTAGTATCCATTGAAGGTAAGTGCACAGGGTTACCAAGTTTTTGTTCGAGATATAAGGGAAAATGTAAACAAAATTAAAACTTATTTAATGAATATTTCAAAATCTATCAACTTTAGACAAAAGTGTTCATACAAAAGATTCAAGATTCTTTCTTCTCTACAAAATGGTGTCATTGTTATCTTCACACGGCTTTTAGTTATGTTTACATTTTTCTTTATATCTTGGGAACGAACAAAAAAACAGGAAGTTGATTTAGAGGCATCTCCTCGGGTATCTACTAGGGCTCGGAATTGTATTCGAATAATTCGAATATTCGACTATTCGACTATTCTAAATTCGACTTTTTTGTTCGTTAGCAAATTCGACTATTCGAATATTCGACTATTCGACTATTCGAATATTCGACTATTCGAATATTCGACTAGTCGACTATTCGAATATTCGACTATTCGAATATTCGACTATTCGAATATTCGATTATTCGAATATGCGACTATTCGAATATTGGACTATTTAACAATGCAATTACTCACTTTTTGATTTGAACAATTTAAAATTTCAATTGTTTCAATATTTGAATTTGAATGATACAATATACGACGTGTTTTCGGTGAAGATCAGCTTTCAAATTTCAAATTTCAAATATGCTTTATTGTCAGAAAATTATAGTACATTCTATTGACAAAGCAACATCCTTAATAATATAAAATATAAGAACAGATAACAAGTAAAAAAGACACTACAGCAGTGGCACTAGCAAGTGGTAAAATGACTAACAATAAAAGAAAAATTCAGTACTTATTAGTAAATTTGTAACATTTTTAAAATTTAGAACACATCAGTTATTATGGCATTGTGAATCTATTACTAAATCAGGTAGACCCTGTCCTCCTTTCAATTAATACAATGCATTTTTGTTCGTAATGTAAATTTAACCCTCTGTAAATTTGCCATTTAGAAAACATCTAAATTATTTTAGTTTTTCTGACTAATACTCTGCATAAAAAATCAAAAATTCGCTTCGTCGTAGAACGTTCTTTTGCGGGAAGTAGAAACTTTTATCAAGAATGATTGTTAGTCGAAAAACGTCATTTTTAAAGTCCCATTTTGTTCTCTTAATTAGGTCCTCTATCAATATTTGACTATTGGAATATTAGACTATTCGAATATTACTATTCGAATATTTGACTATTCGACTATTCGAATATTCGACTATTCGAATATTCGACTATTCGAATATTCGACTATTCGTATATTCAACTATTCGAATATTCGACTATACGAATAGGTATTCGAATATTCGACTATTCGAATTATTCAACTATTCGAATAAAATACCAAACGACTATTCGAATACTTGAATTTCAAAAATTCCGAGCCCTAGTATCTACTTCTACTTTTAGTGAACGCAGTGTAGCTGGTTCTAGTAGAACTAAAACTACATTAACTTCATATGAAGAACCTGAGTCAAGCGAAAGTGATAGTGATGACAGTTTGGGAGATGGCCAAATCAGTTTTCACGATACTGATTCCAGTATTGGCCTTGAAACGTTCAGAGATATTGAAAAAGACCAGGAATACAACCCGGGACCCAGTTCATTAACATCAAAGTAATTGGTTTTCATCATAGAGGTTTTCATCTTCATTTTGTGCTTTATGTTGGTTTTATGTAATACCTGTAGTATCAGTACAGTACCTATTTTTTTGTCTACCAATTTACTTAGGTGGAATTAAATCAAAGTTTTGATGTTATGTTATTATTTGTATTTTGTTTTACTTTTTTTTTCTTAAATCATACTTTTGATATTTAGTTCATTAAAATCTGTTAAAGAATAAAGACTAATATATTATCGTTCGTGCTCGTATATGCTTGTTTGTGCTCGTTTATGCTTGCTTGGGGAACGTTCTCCAAAAATACATGCTCGAGCATTTCGCATCACTAGTTTCAACCAATGAAATTCACTATGACTGGTTTTGTGATTTCTGCAGAAACAGACCTAATATTCTAGTACGTACATTATTTTAGCTAATATCCGACTGTCATATTATTTGATGAATAATGACAAATTACATAACAGTTAGTTAAATACGAAATAATTCCCTAGGGCGTTATGCTAGAAAATAATGTCTTAGGGCAGTATCACTATTTTAATAACCTACGTTATGACTTTTTTTCCAGGTAAATGCTAGTCCTTGATTTCTCTTAGATTTATTTATTCAAAATTTTCTCATATAAAAAATAATTAGTCGGACATTAAGCGTTGAAGACATCAGGAGTTAGACATACTTTTTCAATGGTTGGTATGTATTATGAGGTTCATAGGTTAGGTTTAGGTATTTTCTTTTAGTTTAGTAATATTCTTGTCGCCTGGCCTGGGGCCCTGCGTGGCCCCCAACATCACGGGGCCCCCCCGCAACTGCGGGCCCTTAGTTACGCCACTGTTGACAAATTGTAGCTCTCCCTTTTCTCAGGGCAATAAGACCCACTTTAGTCCCTAGGTCTACTATTGGAGCCTAAAATAGTATATTGCCCGAGATATTTCCTAAGTAGTAAAGTAGTTAGTACTCAAAGTAAGTCTTTGTTTTGGATACATGGACATACATACTTTGTCCCCAAGAGTTGGGAAAGGTATATTTCGAGACAAGAACTAATTATTTCATTTGATTATTGTTAACGATATTAAAGTTAACAGAACAATATAATAGTTAATCCCTTGATTAATCCTTATTATTTTCTAAATGAATATTTTTAGTGGTACATAACTTTGTCTAAATTGAATCCTGTTCACATTGGTGCCCAAAAGCAAATTTTGCAAAATTCATACACCTTAGAAATAAACAGTTTGGGTGTTTGTTCAAAAGGGCCCATGCTTTAATGACTCAGAAGCTGAGACATGGGTTCTTTTGAATAAGCTCTTAACTCTGAGTCAAAACTTCACATTAGTCAATAGTCAAAAAGAGCATGCAGACTGAATACATTGAAAAAGAGTATGCAGACTGAATACATTGACCCTGATGGTTGTGATGACCTCTCAAAACTCAGAGCCACAAAGACAAAGCAATAATCAATGTTTTCAATTTTTTTGGAAAAACATCAATTCTCGAGTGGAATGAATTGCAAAATAAAAACCATTTAGAACAACCTTGACGTGGTAAACCTGAAATTGTAATTTTAAACAAACGTTATAGTAGTGCAATCTCAAAATATAAAGCGTGAAATTGCATTCAAGGGCAATACATAAAAATTGATCCCAGCAAACTGATAGCAACAAAGAAAACTCTTAAATAATCCAAATAACAAAAACATTTTCTCACCTCCTCCTGGCTAAGTTCACTCATTTTCGTCTACAACTGGATGGACACTTTTCTAATTGGAAATTGTTTAAAAACGAGCCTCACTTTCCTGCTGAAAACACTGGCGAAAATTAAATTTTCCTCAACTCAACACAGCACAGTGTTTGACGTCAAAAACTAATGTCAGTCACCTCTTTTAACAGCTGAGTTAAGCGGACATTAGACTGCATTCAATTTTGCAAATCATCTCATTAAACTGCGTACAGTCTCAACGTCAACGACGCTACGACGTACTTAATTGTTGCCAGCTTTTTCTATTGCGTCTCGGCCTCGACTAGACCCTCCTTGTCTGGTTTATATTTGTCCTACCTGTGCCCGTCTTTCTTGCGCCTATTGATTTTTCGATGCGCCTCACCTTGTCGAACCAAGTGCGCAGGTGAATGTTTTTCGGGAAATGTAGGAAAAAGAAAATCTATTTGGATGTGATTGAACTTGGCCGCCAAAAACCTTCTTTTGTGTTTCAGTTGATTGTTTTTGGACGATATCCAGACAAGTTTTAATTATTTTCCTGTGTGAAACAAAGCCAAAATTCAAAATCAATTTAATTATTAGTTAAATTTTAATGTCTTTACCTATAAGGACTTTTGCTGGATGAATTTGTTCAATTTTTAAACCATTAACAAGACACTGTTTTGAAGAATCTACATTGGCCAACATACAAAGTGGAGAACTGCGATTTTCGGAAATGATATTTTGGGATTTTTCTCGCGCAATTTACTGTTATTTGTAAATATAAATTAATGTTTTTCTCTTTTCCAGGAATGACGCCTTTTATTTGGATAAATTAACTAGATAAATAAGTATTATATGCTTTTATTTTTAAATTTAAATAGTACGCATTCTATTGGCCATCTGTTGACGTTTATCATAATTAATATAAGTTTTCATCGCGTCCCGATAGTGCGCTCGGAGTAAAAAGAGTGACACCGAACAGTCAGATCAGAGTGTACTTTATGAACCCGTTCTTCCGAACCCAGCTAATAAAATGGCTCTCAAATAGGTGGAAGCAATTTTTTTCTTTTTCCCACTTGATTTTTGCCTCTGGAAATATTCAAAGTAGCCTTTCAGAGTCTGGAAGCTCTAAACTCTTGTAAAAGAGTATTATCACATTTTAATCCACTCAAAACACACAACTTCCAGGAGTCAAAGCAATATAGATCAAGTCTTATGAATGCTCTCCAAATCATGAAAACAACTTTTCCTATGATTTTTGTCTCTGAAAGTTGTTACGAAAGAGTCTTTTTGACTTAACAAAATTAAAAACTTCTCCTATAGGAATTTCTAGCCCTCAGAGCTTCATGAGGCAAAATCAACCATTAGCAGTTTATTTGAAAAAAGCCCTTCAGAGTCTGAAAGCTCTAAACTCTTGTAAAAGGCTCTTCTCACACTTGAATCCACTCAAAACACACAACTTCTAGAGCTAAAGCAATAAATAGTTCCAGTCTTGAATAGTCTCTTTTATAAATATCATGCAGACAACTTTTCACAACTTGCTTTTTGTCTCTGAAAGTTGTTATGAGAGGCTCTGTTTGGCTCTTAACAATGTGAAAAAATACCCTCATAACAATTTCTAGCCCTCGAAGGTTCTATCTACTAGAGACAAAATCAAGCATATTCAAAATTCCTTCCTGTAAAACTCTCACCCTATCAGTCAAAACGCAAAATCCAATCAAAATAAAACAGCTCTGTTCAAACCGACATGAGAACCGTTCTAGAACAGTAACTTACAGTCGATCAATTCGTTTGTCAATTAAGATAAACGTTCAAACTTATTGGAAAATAGGTGGGCAACTGGAAATTACTGGTTCTGGAACGGTTCTCATCTCAGTTAGAACCTAGAACAAAGCTAATAGCCCGAAAGGACTCCCTTTAGGAACAATTTTTTTTTTATAAAAATGCTGTACTATTTTTTTTACGAGATGAAAGTTAATATTTTTACCTACATATTTATCAATTTAAGAGATTTTTTTCACTTTTTAGTACCTGTACCTGTAGTATGCCTGTAAGTAGATACCTGTATACCTAAAAATTTCAGGTATTCTACTTTTCCGCACTCAGTGCGGAAAAAAAGCGAAAAAGCATTAGTGCGGAAAAGTGGTACTTTCATGACCTGAAATGCGTGCGGAAAAGTGTACTTTAGACAAATAGATGTTAGATAATTAGATAAATGGAAAAAAGGAAGAGAGACGCTTGGAACTTGGCACACCCTGTAGAGTTTGTATGCATGAAGTGTTCGAACAAACAAATTATACCGCAGATTATTTCTAGGTAACATATTGAAATAATTGTTATCCATTTTTGTGATACAGTGGCACGATTCTCGATCTTCTTTATAGTACATATAGGAAGATATCTCAAAGATAAAAATCCAAAAGAGTTAGGTCGGAGGCTGTGGGTCGGTCCATTTATAGGAGGCCCATTCCAGGGTCCAAAGCATCTAATCCATCAACCCCTTTTCCAAAAATTATTTCAAAGTCTGAGTTTCACATTCAAATTAATTTGATCTTCCACAATTCTTTATAAGTGAATTCTGCTATTTCTATGAGTTTGACACTACAAGAAGTCGGTCAGATTTCCAATTGTTGCTCTTATTCCAGGGGTTGATCATAGAGTATTTTCAGGTAGTGAAGGATTTACAGATATTGATACGATATTCTTCCAAATATGTAAGTCTCTAAACTTCTTCATATTGATACAATATTTCTGATTTTGAATGACATGAATGTTTTGAAATAAAATTGAGAAATATAATGACCTTATTGATAGATATACTTAAGTGGTACGTGGTACGTTCCTTCCAGTTGCCACCGCTGAAAGGTCATAGTAAATTGAAAAATTACTTGAGAAATTCCATGACCATAAGTCAGCATAGAATATCCAATGGATAAAGGAACATAGATAATCAAAATTTGAACTATTACCGGCTCTTGATTCTCTGGAAACCTTTCCTAGAGCCAATCAAGAACCGGTAATAGTCGCAATTTGAACTTTTATCAACTCTGGATTTGCTACAGAATATTTCTAAGGGCTTTCAAAGCTCAAGAGCCAATAATAATCAGAATTCGAATGATCATTATTCATTTACAGCTCTTAAGTTGATATGAATCAAAATGTCTTCTTCTGCAGTTTCTAATTGGCTCAAGAAAAATTATTCAATGGATCAAGAGCCACAGAGATAATCAAAATTTCAACTATTACCGGCTCTTGATTATCTAGAAAACTTTCCTGGAGCCAATCAAGAGCCGGTAATAGTCAAAATTTGAACTTTTATCAACTCCTGGATTCGCTAGAGAATTTTTCTAAGGGCATTCAAAGCTCAAGAGCCGATTATAATCAAAATTTCGAATGATCATTAGCAGCTCTTAAGTTGATAATGATATTAATCTAAATTTCTTCTTCCGCAGCTTCTAATTGACTCAAGAAAAATTATCCAATGAATCAAGAGCCACAGATAATCAAAATTTGAACTATTACCGGCTCTTGATTCTTTGGAAAATCTTCCTAGAGCCAATCAAGAGCCGGTAATAGTCAAAATTTGAACTTTTATCAACTCTGAATTCGCTAGAGAATTTTTCTAAGGGCATTCAAAGCTCAAGAGCCGATTATAATCAAAATTTCGAATGATCATTAGCAGCTCTTAAGTTGATAATGATATTAATCTAAATTTCTTCTTCCGCAGCTTCTAATTGACTCAAGAAAAATTATCCAATGAATCAAGAGCCACAGATAATCAAAATTTGAAGTATTATCAGCTCTTGATTTTCTAGAAAACTTTCCTGGAGCCAATCAAGAGCCGGTAATAGTCAAAATTTGAACTTTTATCAGCTCCTGGATTCGCTAGAGAATTTTTCTAAGGGCATTCAAAGCTCAAGAGCCGATTATAATCAAAATTTCGAATGATCATTATTTTGATATTAATCAAAATTTCTTCTTCCGCAGCTTCTATAATTGACTCAAGAAAAATTATTTAATAGATCAAGAGCCACAGATAATCAAAATTTGAACTATTAACGGCTCTTTATTTTTTGGAAAATCTTCCTAGAGTCAACCCCAAGCGCCGCCACTGTCTATAGTCTTTTCTAAGCGATGGAAAGCAATTTTTCTAAACTAGATTTTTATCTCTGGAAGTTTTAAGGGCTCTTTTAGCGCCTAACGAAGTCAATCATACCTACCTATCTTTAACATTTACCCCCTCCAGAATTCTAGAAAAAAAATCAAATACTTTATTCAATAACCTTCTCTCAACAACTTTCTCTTGGAGACTTGGAGATTTAAATTCCTGTAAAATAAGCATTGAGTTTTGTCTCTGAAATTTGGAAATTACTCCAAAGGAAGGAGGATTTACCTGGCTTTTGACAAAATCAAGAAAAATCTCTTAGGTATAATAACTTTAATAATTACACTTTTACAAATATTCTATGTTGCTCATTAGTTCTATTAGAAGTGAGTCTTTTTCAAAATCCCAATAGGAAGACCTTTGATTAAAATTAAATGGAAAAATTTGGACAAGGGTAATTATTTTTATCTAACAAATAAAGATTTAAGAGTAAATTCACTATTGGTTATTGTACTGCCTCGTGACAAAACGTTCTCAAATGGAGAAGTTTGTAATTTGAGTTCCTTGGTAAAATAGTCTTATTTTCAAACACTATTCTAATCAGTAAAGTACTTTAGTGTAAGAAAACACGTTAGTCTTTATAATTTAAATGGCCCGATTTCCACACCACCTTCGAGGTACGAGCTGTCGGTGCGTTTTCTTTTCAAGTGTTTTCCCCGTTAGGCCTAATGCACTTTGAAATTACAATGTACAGCCAAGACCGACAACTTTCCATAATTCAACACCCTCTTGCCAGCTTGGATGGCGCCACTGCTACACTTACCGTAAATATTATAATAGTGCAACAAAAGGGATTCAGGACAACTCTATGGCATTAGGCCTCCCCGGGGCCCCATGCCGACAGATTCGGTCGAATCATGAATTGTTTAGGAATTGATGCACTATATAACTTCATATAGCTGAAAAAAAAATTGTTATCCTTGATCCCTGAAAATTTCCATGGACATTCCAACCAAGGGTTTGTAGGCGTTGTGGTCATTTTTTGCTGGATTCAGAGCGAAATAGCTTGCTTCTTAGTTTGATGCACCATGTCCAGCCTGGACATGGTGCAGTTGGTCCAGAAAACTCTGAAGACTTCCTACCTAATAATAGAATGATCCGATGACCTACCTGAAAAAAAATATTGAAAAGGAAGAACTGGAAAAAACCTGAGAAGGCCTATCTTCAGCATTCGATCTAGAAAACTGTGCAATGATGATGATGATACCAACCTAAACTAGATACACAAAAGATATACCTACTTGCACTATGTTCCTCTTCTGGAATAATCTTCTTTGAACAAGAACATTTCTGCTACAATATAGAACATGATCACTTGTCTCTTCATCTGGAAAAAATAAACAATTTAAGTACCTAAAAATTTGTTCAAGTTAGAAATTACCTACCTTTTTAGACACACCACCCTCTAATCCATAGAACCTCTGTTGATCTGAATTTTCTGTAAATACCAACCAAAGGTTCTTGGTCATTGAAGGTGGACATTTGATAGATTGAGAGACTCTGGATGGTCCCTAAAACTGCGAAGACTTTCTACCTAGCTGAAAAGAATCAAATACAAACCAGATTGCAACTGCCTAAAAAAAGAGGATGTGTAATGATGCAAAAAGCATAGGTACTTGTAATGTTCCTCTTCTAGAATATTCTTCTTCAAACAAAAACACCTCTGCTCTCTGCTATTATATAGGATGTCCTACGACATTTTTCCCAGGTAATAACTTCGGAACGCGTCATCCATTATAATTGAAAATTTTGAGGATCTGGGGTAATTTGTGCCGCTTCTACCATTGTCATCCAATTTCACCACATTTGCTTTAATTTCGGTCAAGTGACGTCAACTTTCGAATCCTAAATGTAACTCATCGATGGTATATTATGGCATTTTTTGTTAGAAAATTAAATTACAAAATCGGCAATCCCATATTTGTTAGGGCTTTGTTAAAGAAAATGATAAAAAAATTATACCAGTGGAACATACGATAATGTGCTCCGAAGTTATCATTTGGGAAAAACCTCATGGGACACCCTGTATAGAACATTAATTATATTTCTTCAGCTGAAAAACACAGAAACAATTTGGCCTGGAAAAGTTTGAGAGCATTCAGCTATTCTAAGCTAAGCATCATTAGACTGAATCTTAATCTACTTGAAATTACATTGTGCAGCCGATACCCAACAGCCAATCATAATTCAACCATTTCTCACCAGCATTTCGGTAGTGCCCCACTGCTACACTTACCGTAAATAGTATAATCGTGCAACAAATGGGATCCTAACCTATTATGGGGGACAGCCTCCCCAGGGGACACCAAAATACCAGAACGAAATAATCAAAGCAATTGTCTTGGATATCAGTGGAACGCAATTTCAATGGGTAAAAAATAATAATCATTAAAAGAGTTATTGAAGCGAGGGGTGTTTCACCCACTAAATTTTGTACATTTGACTGCATTGATTGCATCAAAGATGATAGGTATAGTTGACTGCATTGACTTTTGAATAGTATCTAACAAGATTGCAGGCTCCAGTCCCAGCGACTGCTTACGATTTTTCGCGAATGTATATGGAATGTACGCTACCTACTGCATACTGCATATGACTGCACGGAATTTATAACCATTGCAAGCGACTGTATTATGACTACATGCGACTGTATTATGACTGCATGATTCCGTGTATTCCATTGACTGCATAAGAATATATGGACTTCTATTAAAACACCCCTCGTATTGAAAACATCTACAGCCAAATGCTCAAAGTCCAATACTAAACTTACCAAATTACAAGTATAGTTTACCAAAACTGATTCCTTTAGGTACATGTCACACCTGAAAAAAGAAAACAGAATTTAATTATTCTCTGGAAAGCATAGGTACATGGACTTTTCTAGGACCTGTGTTCAAATTAGAAATTACATACTTTTTTAGACACAACAGCGTCTGTTCCATAAAACCTCTGTTGATTTGAATTCTCTGTTAACATAATGTAATTCCTCTACAAAAGCATGAATGGACTTTTCTAGGACCCCTGTGGAGTAGTGGAGTGCCTAACTGGCAGTTGGGACAGGACAGAACTACCAAAATAACTTCTTGAATAGCTATAAAAGTTGAAATAATCTGAAAGTTAAACTTTTTAGAACCTTAAAATTAAGTGTTGAACTAAGAATTTAGGTAGGTACCTTTCTACACACATCCAGTGTCTGATCCATAAAACCTCTCTGTTGATCTGAATTCTCTGTAAATAGCAACTCAAAGGTCCGGAAAACTTCAGAGACCTTCCTACCTGATATAATGATGATCTACCTGAAAAGGATTAAGACAAACTGGATTGCCTAGAATAGACAATTAAGGAAGACCTGGAAACAATTTGAGGAGTTTCCTCTATGTTCAGCCGTGGATCCAGCAGGACGCTGTGCGATGATATAAACTTAAGCTAGACACTGATCGGACTGTTCCTCTAGAAACATAAAGCGATAATAAGGACCTTTGTTTATTTTAAAACATTTATGTAAAGAAGCTTCTTCATCCCGATTTATTTTCAATTCATTATTAGAAACAGAATAAAAATTCCAGGGCGCCTTTAGAATTTTTATTCTTGTTTGATAATGAATTTTTACATTTCAACTAAACAATACGTCCTTTCGGATAATATGCATGCTAAACATGGAAATCGCAATGTATAGAACCATGAAATACTTCACTACATAACCTACTCAATGAGAAGTAGCTTACCAACCTACCTTTGGTCCTGTATCACACCTATTAAAACTACTTTATATCAAATTAATTCATCAATCATCTATATTTTATGTTAGAGATAATAGATTCCTGAGATTACTTCTCCATTTTGTGTTTAGTTGCTTTAAAATTCACTGATATTCGCAGCAGGTAACAACGTGTTGCGGCAATGCGTGTGTTTCTAAAAAATTATAAATAGGTAAAAATTGGTGCTCACTTATAGAAGATACTTGGACTGTATCAACTGTTTATCCAAATCCAGTTGGATAAGTACTTTATGGATAGGTTTTACCATCCAAGTTAGGCCAGAGTTACCCAATTCCTTAATTCGGAATTTTTGTTCTTAATTCTTAATCCCTAAAAACACCAATGTTAAATAAATTGAACTTATTGAGAATTAAGATTAGGGATAAATTAAGAATTAGGGAATTGGGTAACTCCGGCCTAAGTTGGTTGGCTGCCAACATACTTGGTCCAAAGTTCTCATCCAAGTGCACTTGGACCGTCTCAACCTAACTTTATCGATGTTTACAATTTTATTAGAAAAATTAAGGGTTTTTTTTTATGGAAGAATTGATTTAAAGGGCAATAAATAGTTGTTGATAGGTACTTACCAATTCTAATAATGTGTTATCCAATTGGAAAATCCGATCAAAAATGATAACTTGCTAAAACTCAAAATTCTGTATTATGTTTGAATAGCTTACTCTTCCATGACGGTAAATAGTCAACTGATAGGTATATTAGAAATCATTTACATTACCGATACCTTTTCTTTTTTGTACCAACTTCCTGGGCTTTTTTGATACTGCATACATTCATCATGATGATTCATAAGATTATTAGATATACCTATTGAAATAAATAAATCCTTTAAGCATTTGGCTATTTGCTGAAATGGACATTTTTTCAAATTATTTTTCTACTTTTGGAAAATGTGATGAAAATTAAAATTTCACTGAAGCATTACTGAAACAATCTGGTTCATGCTACAATTCATTATAGGTACTATTAGTATTAAACAGATAAATAATTCACAATTAAACATGGAAATGAAACAATTATCCATGCAGATAATTTTATTGAAAACAAATACATTTTACGTTAACGATATAAAACTTCTTCTGTTCGCCACTTTTTCAACGTTTCTGGAAAAACTGTTCAGAAACTTAAAAAAAAATCAGTACCAGAGTACCATCTACAAAAAATTTAACACTTGCTATCGTTCACTAAAGTCCCATTTCCAATAATTTTCCTATTTTTCGTATATGGTATAAGCCCTACCAATAATCCGGACGCAATCACCCAAAAACCAGCATGGTAAAACGATTGCTCATAAGAATGCGTAATGTCAAAGAGTAATCCTGAAAAAAAGATTCTCACTACCTCACACCAAAAGAGAAAATTCTCACCTGCTAAAGGTGGTCCAGCCAAATTTCCGATCCCCTGACACAACAAGCTCAATCCGTACGCCATTGTGAAATTGTCCAGCGGTACTAAATCCGCCAATATCGGAGGCGTCAGTGCATTAACGCTGGCAAAAGACAATCCAAATAAGCCACAAGAAACTAACAGCATTGGGTATTGGTAGGTAAAGAACATCATGGCAGTGCAAGTGAAACCACAGCACACCAAGCTTATCGAATACATTTTGATAACGTCCAATTTATCACCAATTATACCGAAGATTATCATTCCTATGATGTTGGTAAGGCCGATCAAAGATAGAGCAAACGAGGCTTGGTTTTCTGTGTAGCCGCAAGAAGTCATGTGCACTGGCAAGTAAAAGTACGGCACCACAAACCAAATGCACATAACGACCGTCGAAATGCTTAACAAAAAAAAATGCAGCTCGTTGAATAAAGACAAATTCGTAATGTCTCTTAGAACTTCTACGTAATCGTCATACCATTCTTCTTCTTCTTCGTCGTGCTGTTCTAACAAAGTGGAGTTTTTGAAAAAATCTGGGCAACTAGAGGTGGTTAATTTGTACTTATGCAAATTTAACATGGCACCTCGGTAACCCATAGAGTTTTTCCGGAAACGGATGTTTTGTAAATAGTTGTGGTGTTGATTTCTGGATTTGGTCGAGTCACTGCGAATCAGTGGTGTTCGTTTTGTGACGTCTTTGTCGGGATCATGTTCAGAATCTGGAACAAGTTTTTATTAAGTCTTTTGAATCTGCAGCTAAAAGTGTTACCTGCTTCATGTAATTTCATGCAAACTTTGACTGGAGCTCGAATTTTCTGAGGCTCGATATCGTGCAAGCTCATGTCCGAAATAAAAATCGTTTCTGAAGCGCTTTTACACGATAGAATTTTAGGGAAGTTTTCTAGGATAATATTGTATAGCTTTTTGTTCTCACTTAGTTTTTTTAAAACTTCTAAAGGCACCTATAGAATTAATAATAATAAATATTTAGTTCATAAGACTAGAGCTGAAATCTTACTTGTTCATGCTCGTGTAGAAAAGTTGGAAGCTCTATTAAAGAAGTGCTGTATCTTGAGTCTTTTTTTGGTAAAGATATTGTCGCTTCCACATCGTCAATTTCAAACTTTTTCTTCGACACAATTGGCCGTTGATTCTTTTCTTTTTCCTCACAAGATTTCCTTCGGAAAACAATAAAAGCAAGATCAATAAAACAATGCAAATAATTACCTTTGTTGTTTAATCCAAAAAGGATCCTTCATTAAAACCCCACTAACGCACATATTGGCACACAATCCTGCCATTATCAGCATTGAGCCTCTCCAACCGTAATTCTTAACCAAATAAGTGATCAACGGTGAATAAATAACTGTACCAAAACCAGTACCACTTGCAGCTATACTCAAAGCCAATGTCCTGTGCTTTTCGAACCAAAAAGCTATCGAAACTACTGCCGTGACAAAACACAAGCAAAACCCAATGCCTCCGATAAATCCGAAAGTTAAGTACATCAGCCAAATGTTTTTGACATAAGAACTCATCACAAAGCCTATGGTGCAAACTATACTGCCCAGTATTGTCATGGATCTACAACCATATCTGTCTACCATAGCACTGCCTAAAGGGCCAGCCAAGAGTGGTACCGACAAAAAGAGGCTGCCAATAAATGACGTCGCTGAATTAGATGCTTTGAATTCATTAAGGAATTCAATGTTTAGTATTCCAAAAGTACTACCTACACCGTCGGAGACTAAATTGATGAAGAGGCTACTGAGTACTATTATCCAGCCCCAACCTCCATCGGGGATTTTCGGTTTAGCTGCTTCTACAAATAGATTTATCCTTGAAGAAAGTAGGGTTTCTTTTGTCGGTACTGTCAAGTGATAGGCGCTTCTCAGTGACTGTCTACTTCCTAATTGGTTTGGTACTTTAATGCACTGATCACTTTTCACTGAAGGCATTTTTTAGCCCATATTTTTACGCTATTCTGGTGGATAGCAAATAACGATTTAGTGCTTTTCAGGATCATATTCTGCGATAAGATATATTTGGCAATATTCCGATAAATTATTCTTATAATAATCCCCTGGAAGGAATTAGCGGTTTATTTGCCATGCCGTCTAATCAATTTTAGATAAGAGGACCTAATATGCTGATTAGTAATGTGTTGTTATTGAAATTCTGAATATAGGAAAAGGCTATAGCTTTTAATAAATTAAATGATTTTTGCTCTACAAATACGTTTTTACGTATAATAATTTCCAAAAAAATCCATTCATTTTAATTGCAGGAACTTAAAAGTGAGTTTAAATGACCTTAAAACTCTTTCATGAAATAGGCACGGTCACTGATTTCATTGATTTATTCTACGTAGTTCATTGTTCAACTTAACGTGTGTTATAAGTTAAGTTGGCTAAAAGCCCCGTTCACCATCAGGAAAAAATTATAAGAAAATCAAGTGAAATCTTGAGGAACTTAGGAGAAATCTCAAGGAAATCAGTCAGTTCCTAGATCTAACGCATATACGCTAGTTTTCGAACAAAAAGAGGAACTCTTGGGCAATCTTACTGGTAATCAAAAGAAATCTGGGAAAATCATATGAAATAATCATTCATGATTTCTCCTAAAACCACAATCTGGTGTACAATAACTTACCTGCGGTTTCCCTTCGTTTCTTTTTATGTTATATTCTATTAATTTTATTTCTTCTACTGGTATATTCTACTAATTCTTTGTTATTGAGCCTTTGGAATCTTTAAAGTTGCAGTATTTAGCGTCTTCAAACTAAACTAGCTTTTAAATGCTTTTGTCCTTTCAAATTTTTCATCAGCAGAAACTTTCAAATTCTTTTAAATTTAAAAAAAAAATATTTATTTGTCACCGTATTTTTTGCTTAAAAAAAACTATAAAATACCTTTAATCTAGCCTAGAATAGAAATCATACCGCAAAATGCTGCATAATAAATGTATGTACAAAAACTAAAATTAATAATAACACACAGGGTCACATAAATAAAGCATCTCGACAACGTATACGAGCCAAAAAAATAAAATAAATATCAAACAAATTTACACATCTAAAAAAATATATCTAATACGGTCCACTTTGGCCTGGAGGTCCGTAACTAGTTGCAGGCCTTCCTACAGATACAGAAGACGAGGAATCTCCAGTGTTCAAATTAAATTGGCTACTGGAAGCTGCCGACGAGCTGGCAAGAGACAGGGAAGTTCCAAAACCTGCTCCTGATCCTCCTCCCAAACCTGCACCACCTATAGAAAAAAACATTCGTTATTGATTTTTGCAAAGTATTATTTGAGGATTAAACTTACTTCCACTTAGTTGACTTCCAGCAGCAGCTCCACCACCGCCTCCTACAGCTTCAGACTTTGCTTTGTATCTGATAAAGTAGACTTCAGGTTTGCTTGGAGCTGTAGGAGCCGCAGTTGGTAGAGTAATGTCAGCAACGTCATCGGGTTTCTTCACCAAAACGTAGACCAAGGTCTTTTCTTCGTTTTGGGCCTGTAAAGATTATATGTGAATTATTTTTAGCACAATTGAGTTGCAATAAGGCGAACCTGAGCTTGAAGCACTTGCTGTTGGGTTGGTTGGTAAGATGGGGCTTTGATGAAGATGATTTTGTAATGTTTGGTACTTTGACCACCTCCGATGGGCCTTTGTGGACGAACTTCTTCGGGCTCTGGAGGTGCTACGTGGACGTAGATGTGCTTTTGGACTAAGGTGCCTCCTGTTGCGATACCACCACCTAGAAACATACATATACTTGTTGATTTTTTTTTTAAAAATTGCATTAAATATTTTTGTGTAGGATATCTCAAAAGCCAAATGCGCTTCGTGCTGGTAGAATTCAGACTGTGTTTTTTTCGAGATTTTAAATGCGAAATTGAATGGATTTTACCTCCTCCACCTCCTCCGCCTCCTCCTATTCCTCCTCCACCTCCTCCTATTCCTCCTCCTCCTCCTAATCCTCCGCCTCCAAGTCCACTACTCCCGCTGCTAAAGCTAGATTCACTAAATCCACTGCCTGCGGATGCAAACGAGCCGCTACTGGAACCTCCACCGAACGAACCACCTCCACCAGGTGCTCCGTAGCTGCCGCTAGGCCTCTGAGAGGGTGCTGGGTAGTTGTATTGAGGCTTAGCATTACCTAAGCCCGCACACAAAGCTGTAAATATCTGAAAGAAATAAGTAATCAATTTATGTGTGATCAATTATCATTGATCAATGGGGTGCGGTTCCAAAAAATGCATGCGGATTTCCCTTTTTTATGGCACACACGCCCAATATTTTATATTATGGCATCATATAGGTCATGTATCAAGAATCTGGTTACGTAATTTTAAATGCACGAAGAGGTAATAAATGAATAAATGGAATTAAGCAGTTTTCTTTTTGCATGCGGCGGCTTTCGATTGCGTTTGCAATCGTGTATGACCATAAACGAGAAAAGAATTTTATTGGAAAAATGTTTTTGATTGTCTTAAACAGAATACAATATAATCGAAGTGAAAATTAGCAAAATAATTGGTTTTATTACTGCATGACAAATCTGGGTCAAAAACGCGGGCAAGATATATTATGAAAGGACCTTCAGCTAAATGTTTGAGTCAGCAGATGAATTTTTTAACAGAAGACATATTACGTCTGGTATCCTTATATGGAGAACAGGTTGTTGATAATCTCTTCATGTGCTTGTTCAATTGTAAATTATTTAATAGTCACTAATAAATTTGTTCTACTCAATATATAATCCAATGTTATTTAAAAACTGTAGGCCGACGCATTGAGGCAAATATTAAACCGCTTCTTGATTGCCTCTAGGAAAACTGTCCACCAATTTTGCCTCTTGAATGGACAAAAGTTAAAGTTGTAAATACTTTTCTGGTTCAATTTTTGGCATTATAGGAGCGCCGTGAATAGAATTTTTATGCCTTTTTTGTTTGAATTTCAGCTCTAGTAGAGCTAGGAATGAGATTTCTACAATTTCTCAATTTGAAAAGATCAAACAAGCTTCTTGACTAGCTCTAGTCCAACTTTACCTCTTGAATGGTCAAAAATCAAAGTTATATACACATTTTTGGCATTAGGAACGCCGAGAATAGATTTTGTATGTCTATTCTAGTCTAAATTTTAGTTCTAGTAGAGCTGGGAAAGAGATTTTTACAATTTCTCAAACTGAGAGGGTTAAACAAGTCTAGCCCAACTTCGCTATTCTTGAATGGTCAAAAATCATAATTATATACACTTTTCTAGTTCATTTTCTGGCATTAGGAGCGCCGAGAATAGAGTTTTTGAATCCTTTGTTGTTTGAATTTTAGCTTTAGTAGAGCTGGAAATGAGATTTTGATAAATTTTCGATCTGAGAGGATCAAATAAGCTTTCTGGCCAGTACTAGCCCAACTTTACCACTTGTATGATCAAAAATCAAAGGTATATACACTTTTCTAGTTCAATTTTTGGTATTCGAAGCGCCGAGAATAGAATTTTTATGCCTTTTTGCCCTTTTTGTTTGAATTTTAGCTCCAGTAGAGCTAGGAATGAGATTTTCACAATCTGAGAAGGTCAAACAAGCTCTCGAACCAGCTTTAGTCCAACTTTACTTCTTGAATGGTCAAAAATTCAGAGTTATATATACTTTTCTACTTCAATTTTTGGCATTAGGAGCGTCGAGAATAGAATTTGTATGCCTTTCTTGTTTTAATTTTAAATTTTAGTTTTAGTAGAGCTGGGAATGATATATTTTTACAATTTCTCAAACTGAGAGGGTCAAACAAGTTTCCTGACCATCTATAGTCCAACTTTACCTTTTGAATGGTCAAAAATAAAAGTTATATACACATTTTTGGCATTAGGAACGCCGAGAATAGATTTTGTATGTCTATTCTAGTCTAAATTTTAGTTCTAGTAGAGCTGGGAATGAGATTTTTACAAATTCTCAATCTGAGAGGGTCAAACAAGCTCTTCCCCAACTTCGCTATTCTTGAATGGTCAAAAATCAAAATTAGATACACTCAAAGTTCATTTTCTGGCATTAGGAGCGCCGAGAATAGAGTTTTTGAATCCTTTGTTGTTTGAATATTAGCTTTAGTAGAGCTGGAAATGAGATTTTGATAAATTTTCAATCTGAGAGGATCAAATAAGCTTTCTGGCCAGTACTAGCCCAACTTTACCACTTGTATGATCAAAAATCAAAGGTATATACACTTTTCTAGTTCAATTTTTGGTATTCGGAGCGCCGAGAATAGAATATTTATGCTTTTTTTGTTTGAATTTTAGCTCCAGTAGAGCTAGGAATGAGATTTTCACAATCTGAGAAGGTCAAACAAGCTCTCGAACCAGCTTTAGTCCAACTTTACTTCTTGAATGGTCAAAAATCAGAGTTAAAAACACTTTTCTACTTTTATTTTTGGCATTAGGAGAGTAGAGCTGGGAATGATATTTTTACAATTTCTCAAACTGAGAGGGTCAAACAAGCTTCCTGACCATCTCTAGTCCAACTTTACCTTTTGAATAGTCAAAAATCAAAGTTATGTTTCTCAAATAACCACAATTTGTCTAGCTCTTCATCAGCTCTTGATTCGTTTTCCATTTTTTGGAAATGTAATGAGCAATTAGTAATTGGCAATTCTGATTTTTATCGGATTCTATTCAGTTGATGATCAAAATCAAAATGTTGATTACTACCGGTTCTTGATTCAATAAACCTTTAGATCACTTTTAAATTCTTCTAATTCAGCTTTGGAGCACATTCAAGAGCCCTCTAAGGTATGGTATGTAATTTTAACTTGTGAAAAAGACATTATAGAGGCTAGGAGTTGAAAAAGTTTCACAGGCTAAAAAAACTGAAAATGTTCCCCAAGGAAATTGTAAAAACTAAGGAAATCGTGAACTGAGAGTTGTAGTAGCCAACAGATTGTAGATTGTAGATATACTCAACAGATTCCAAGAAAGTTGCTGATAATTGCCTACTAAGAAAGTTGAGAAAAATGTTGAGAAAATTGTAGGTATACAGAAACCAATAAAACTGCAATTATGTGCTTAAAGGATAAACTGACCTTTTAACAGTTCTTGGCGCTATTATTATAACATTGATCCTAATATCAAGGGCTAAAACACCACGAGTCGTGACGTCACTTGCGAGCGAAAAACTCAATGTATAGTTGTGTTCAAAAATGTCTATTACAACTATCATCATGTTGATCAATATGTTCTATAAAATCTACAAAAATCACTATTTTGAATCGTTGGCCTACCTTTGAATCACTATAACTGTTCTAGAATTGAAAAGTTTAGAGTAGGTAAATTGGAAAATGTTTCAAATAACAAACTTTTGAGCACGTATAAGGTGGAAAAAACGCAGTGAATCCTAAAAATCTTTTTGAGTTTGATTTGATCATAGTCCAAATCCTAAAGATTTGGAAGATTATAATATGAAGATCTTCATTGAACTTATTCAAATAAAAATATATTGATTAAAAAATTCTTACCAAAAACGTTTTCATCCCGCAAACTAGAAAAAAAAATACACTTTTTTATACACACCACCCAAAAAATTATGACATCAAAAACTACCGACTTTTGTCTTATATACTTCTTCGTCCTTTTAGGTAACACTTAAAGGGGGGATCTTCGTCTTGTCTTCTCGTTTCTTGAACCACGCCGAAGATGTTCTTCAATGGAAGACGACATAAGTACACGTAACATTTAGGCAAAAGTGAAAATTGTCTACCTCTTGAAAGGTTACGACCTTTATGATCTTTATGTGATAAAGCTGATTTTGTCTAATTTGAAGTAAATTATAAATACATAAAATCAATCTATTATTTAATGGGAGATTTGTATTATAATTTTTGATTGTAAAGGTCAAAGAAAAAAAATATTTGTTGCAACACATACACGCATTAAATCATCTTTTTTCTTTGACAATAATTAATGTTTTTTTTTTTATTTTGGGTGGGACAACCTTTTGGCACTTGTGAAATCCCTTTGAATCTTGGCGTAATTAGAAATTCAAAAGGTCAATAGTAGTCATTGTGATTCTTTAATTATTATAATTTTTCAAACTGGGAAATTTTATTCTTTGTCCTTTTATATTAAAAATAAGAAGAAAACATTATAAGAATGAGTTAAAGTTGAAGAGAAGAAAAATTTAGCTTAAATCTGTTTCTATTCCCCAGGCTTTATGGGATATTGTCAACTAGCTACTTAGGAAAGGAGGACCTGGTATTCAACTTTATTAATTTAATTGCCGATTATTTGATCGGATGTTTATTGCAATTTAGCAATAAATTGATATAAATAGTATGGGCCAAGCCAAGCAACAGATTAATGAGAAAAATTCACAACTGAATGAATCAGGTTAGTATTGTACTTGAACAACATATTGGTGAATAAATGGCTGGGTCCACCCATAAGTTCCGCAACAATCCACTCGTTTGTACTTGAATAACTTGTCACAATATATTGCTAGTTTGGTAAAGTAACATTACTAATTCCTGTTAAAAGGTAAATTGACAAAAACTAGATAATCTTATAAATTCTGACTTTATATAATAAGTTATTGTTCCAGTACAAATAAGTGGATTGTTGCGGAACTTATGGGTGGACCTCTGCGGGACGAGCGCAGCGAGTTCCGCAGCCATCTACTCACCAATATACTGTTGAACTGTTCAACTAAACCATTCACCTGAAACGTGTACTTTTTAAACTAATGATAATAACTCACATTTGAGTGAGTAAGGTTAGTATCGTACTTGAACAACCAACCTTAGAAATACTTAGTAATACAAGAAATGTGTGGGTAATACCTAGTTATACTAGTAATAATTGAAAAAGTGGCAATATTTCAGGAAATACATCAGAAGTACTGGTAATACTTCAGAACTACCTAAGTAATAATTTGGAAATAGGCAATAATACTACGAGAGAGGGTTGAAAGAGTTACATTTCGCATGGTTTAATGAGCAATCGTTTATTTTTCATGTGGCAACAAGACCTGTATGAGGTCGTTCAAGTATTTTGCGAAATGTTTTATGGATATAATATAATAAGATGGCTTGAGCTACTTGGGAAGGAATACGACGGCTTAAAAGAGCAAGGCTCTGTTTTTACGTGCATGTCTTTACCTACTTGTTTTGTTTGCTGACAGTTCTTGTGCATTGACTGATTGTTTAGGTGGGATTGACTGATTGTTTAGGTGGGATGGACATGGAAATAAAATCCAATCATATTATCATGATAATATTATGAGAACCCAAAAATCAGTCTTGCACGTTCAATAGGGCAATCCAATTGATATGGCGGCCAATGAAATTGGCGCCACAAGCATTTCATTTATTACCTTCAGGAAACCGTAACGATTTTATTATCTTTCTATTGGACAAACATAATTTCGAAACTTTGTAAAAATACCAGGATTTCGATTTTAATTTTTCAAGGCTAAAACTTTAGTTTCAAGGACGATGTTTACTGCTACATGAATACCTTTAACATAACTCTTTTTTTTGACGTTTTAATATACAGGGTGTTCTATTGAAAATAGTGGAGAATTTCGATATTGTTCGGACTAACTAAAGAAAACTATAGGCCAAGAGAAGTCGAATGGCGCAAACCGCAGGTAGAAATTCATATTCTATGGATCAATTACTTTGGTAGGAAATGACACCTTTCAGATAAGACGTACAGATGGGTTGAGAATTACTGAACAGTATAAGGGTTTGAAAAAACCTAGGAAAAAACTGTATACTCTGAATAAATAATTAGGTAACAGGATTTTAGGTTACGGTTGCATTACTCGTTTTTTGTTAACCCTTGGAATCATGTATTCATCAATGTACAATACTTAAATAATAACAAACGAGATTATAAAATACATATAGTTTTATTATGCTCTAGTCTGGTAAACCATCAGAAATCTGACAACACCAATTAGATTTTTCGATTCTTCTCATATACAGTCGGCTGACCACGCAACAGACCATTTTTCAAAGACATGGAGGTTGGCATTGACTGGTGCATGTAACAGGATAAAATAAACAAGAATCAACTATAGGTACCCAAACTGTTTCAGCTATAGGTACCTAAACTGGGAATCAAAATGGGTAATAATTAAAAATCTTCAAAAAAATTAATCTGCTGTTTTGGCCAAATATGGTTGTTAATTATCAAGCTATTCACACAAAGGTTTTTTTTGGAACAATCTGGTAATACTAGAAAATATTTATCAGAAGTAGGTTATACTAGGTAATACTTCAAATAATATGTACTTGGAAGAACTGGTAAAATTCTGTAATGCTCCAGGTAACCGAAGCTGGTAATATCTAGAAATGCGAAGTATTTTCCAGAAAATTCAAGAAATACACACTGGTATTTCCGGATCTAGGAAATCACTGTACACTTTTTGCTCAGGTGGTGCACCTCTCATGAACAACATATTGGTGAATAGATGGCTGGGTCCACCCGCAACAATCCACTCGTTTGTACTTGAATAACTTGTCATATTATATTACTTGTTTGGTAAAGTAACATTACTAATTCCTGTTGACTTTATATAATAAGTTATTGTTCAAGTACAAATAAGTGGATAATTGCGAAACTTATGGGTGGACCTCTGCGGGACGAGCGCAGCGAGTTCCGCAGCCATCTACTCACCAATATACTGTTGAACTATTCAAATCAGACACTCACCTAAAACTTGTAGTTTTTGAACTAATGAGAATAACTGACATTTGAGTGAGTCAGGTTAGTATCGCATTTGAACAAAATAATAATGCATAGATGACTGCGGAACTAGCTGCGCTCGTCCCGCAGAAGTCCACCCATAAATTCCGCAACAATCCACTCGTTTGTACTTGAATAACTTGTCACAATATATTGCTAGTTTGGTAAAGTAACATTACTAATTCCTGTTAAAAGGTAAATTGACAAAAACTAGATAATCTTATAAATTCTGACTTTATATAATAAGTTATTGTTCCAGTACAAATAAGTGGATTATTGCGAAACTTATGGGTGGACCTCTGCGGGACGAGCGCAGCGAGTTCCGCAGCCATCTACTCACCAATATACTGTTGAACTATTCAAATCAGACATTCACGTGAAACTTGCAGTTTTTGAACTAATGAGAATAACTGACATTTGAGTGAGTCAGGTTTGTATCGTATTTGAACAAAATAATAATGCATAGATGACTGCGGAACTAGCTGCGCTCCTCCCGCAGAAGTCCACCCATAAATTCCGCAACAATCCACTCGTTTGTACTTGAATAACTTGTCACATTATGTTACTTGTTTGGTAAAGTAACATTACTAATTCCTGTTGAAAGGCAAATTGTGAATAATCATAATCTTACAAATTCTGACTTTATATAATAAGTTATTGTTCAAGTACAGAGTGTTTTTTTATATATTGACACCCTAACTACAGCCTTCACCTTTACAAGTAGATGAAAGGTGTGAATACAAAAGTTGTACAGCATTGGCTAAATTTTTAGAATCCATGGTCAAAAACAAAAATTGAATGTCAGAAATGTGAAATGTTGCATGCTTCCAGCTTTTTTTCAAATGGGATGCCCTATACTTGGTTCTATGTTCTAGAAGAGCACAATTTTCCGATTCCAAAAATATATAGTTTATCTATATTTGGTTGAGCCGACTCCAACATTTTTGGCTCTAAAAATTTTAAAAATACTATCAGAGAATCCAAGTACCACAAATTTTATCTGCAAGTTTTACCTGTATGGATGGAATGGTTCACAAACTCAGTAGTAGGATAGTATTCTTATAATTTTTGAAGCCGAATATATGAGAGCCTGTTCAATCAAATATAGACAAACTATATATTTTTGGAATCGGGGCATTGTGCTCTTTAAGAATATAGAATGAAATATAGGACATCCTATTTGAAAAAAGCTGGAAGCATGCAAAATTTCACATTTCTGACATTCAAATTTTGTTTCTAAAAATTCAGCCAAAACTGTACAACTTTTGTATTTATACCTTTCTTTTACCTATAAAGGTAAAGGCTTTAGTTGTGGTGTCAGGTGTCAATATTTAAAAAAACACCCTATACCTACCTATTTAAAATCACCTTATTCCCCATTTCCATATTTTTAGGGCCATTTCTTCGAATAACCGTATCTTGCACAATGCGCGGCCAAAACTAACCCAATCTAGCTTACTTTAACTTAAACTGCCCCCCCCCCCCCCCCCTCCCTTTCAAAAAGCCTGTATCCGTCCCTGAGAGCATGTATCCTGGAGGATTCACGTAATAACTTCTTAGCAAATTAAACCTTTTTATGTAAAAACAACGAGTTTCTCTCCATTTATCCACCCTACACACCCCGTCACACAGAATTTGTCACAATATTCTATAATATTCCAGCTTTGAAAAAAACAAATTTGGAATTTTGACGAAGAAAATTAGGAATGAAGAAAAACATTAAAAACTAAATTAACATAAATTGCGAAACAGTAATTTTTTAAATAAAAAAAATCTACCATATATTGTGCCTAAAGGTATAAAATCAGAAATTATAATTATTTATGACCAACCAGAAATACTGAAACTATAAAATTGGCAATGCAAAGGCGTTTTATAAATGTGCAAAAAGAATCATCAATAGTCATCCATTATGCAACAAAATAAAAATTAAACAAAGATTTCCCAATACATGCATATAATGTTCTCCTTAATCACAGTTGCGTCTTTTGCTATAGTTATCATGTCATGATTAAATTTGGATTTACGTGGTTGTGTTAGCTCAAAGGGATATATAGGTACCTATATTGAACTTTAAATTTTTAATAATTATTGGTTTGCTGCAAAAGAAAGTTTTCCGGTAGATGTTATGATACCTTACACAGCGTGATTCTTAAATTGGCATTTATAATTTAAGTGCATATAACTCATTAAATTATGTAAAAATACATAAGAATTTTTAATTTGGAACTAAAAAGAAAATTGCTCTAATTCTCCTATGTTTATTATCTTACATGAAATATTAATAAAAGCAAACTATTCATGCCCTTTACCATTAATTCTTAATGCACCATTACATTGTTCAAAGTAAAATCAATATCTAAGCAAACAATAGTAGTATTATTTTCATAAAAGACAACTACTACTAATACCTACTAATAATAATACATCATTATAAAACATCTGTGAAAGCTATTTTACGCAGCAACATAATTTTTCCAAACATAAAAGTTCAAAATTGGTTAAAAATGGCATTGGTTTATGTATGTTGCTTTTGGTTTTCTTTGAGATTAGGCTCGGTTTTATGTGCTGTTTCTTCCGCTGTAAGTACCAACAACATAAAATTAATTGTATATAAGTACCTATATTAAAAATTTTCACTTGACTATATTTTTAACAAGCCTCACCCATGTGAGCAAACAAAAATTACCCAATATAATCATCTACTAGCTAACGATTTTATGTAAGCTTTCTGATTATTTACAAGAACAATTATGTGCGTGCCATCTAGCATCATAAAGTACATTGGGCAAGATTTATGTTGGTAAATTTGCATTTTATCTACAAGAAATTGTTTTATTGTTTCAGCTAAAATGTATGTGCTTTCTGGTTTTCATTCTATCAAAAAATGTTGATGATCTTGAAGGGAAAATTGACAAATTCCTTCGCAACATTGAATACAATAAATCTATAACTTTGTTTATAGTTACAAGTAAGCGAAACCAATTGATTCTATCTATAGCATCAAAAATTAATAATCTTGCTTAATAAAATCACAATAGATGAAGCATTATTGCTTTATTAATTCCAGGGTTTTGAATTCTCTTCATATTATTATTCTTTGAGGGTATTTTTATGAAATTTTATGATTTCAGTATTAGGGGCGAATGGCGTACTTAAAGTTGAGATATGAGTGATAGTGATATAACTTCCCTAATGGACCGAGAATAAACTAAAATATATTATTGCTTGCACTTAAGTTTTTATCTCCAAAAATTCATTAAATAACTATTTTTTTTTTTTAGATTTCAATATATTATTCATAATAATCATCATCTTTTTCGTCTTATACATTCTCATTTGCCTTATTATATGCTTAGGAGCTTTATTGGTAAGTCATATAATTAAACCCTCGTCACTTGTATATCCGAGAAAATCCTGTAAAGAAAATCCTTTCATGAATGATAATTAAAAAAGTTGTTATTTTCTTTTGATTCTAATTAATGGACTTTTGTTTTAGTGCAAACCAAAGCTGTGCTATGCATTTATAGTTGTCCAAATAATAATGATTTTGCTTGGATTGTTTAGTTACACAATTTTATTTAAATATTTAATGTGTTTGGCTTCGAGGGCTGTAGTCACAGGCTTCGGTTTGGGTGAAGTAATTTTGTTTTTGACTTTGGGATTGCTTTATCTTTGTAAGTATGTAATAATTTAAAAAATTAACAAATTTTCAATTTGTTTTATTTTAGTTTTTGACATTTATCTAACAATTTGTGTATCGACTTTTATTGGAATAATAAAGGATTTACAAAGGCAAATACAAATTAAAAAACACAAACAAGAAAACAATATATTTATTTGAAGTTTTTTAATAGTTTATATTGTTTTTGTTATACATTAGAGTATTATTTTCGTGAGTGACAGTAAAAAAAAAATACAATTAACTTATTGCAAATAAAAATTCGAGTAGTCCAGGTCTGGCGTTTGGAGTTGGAGTTTGTCTTCAGCAAATAGTCTTCTAGAAAATCAAATTCCTAATTATTTTTATTAGATAAATGCCAGGCTATTACTTACTGATAACGAGCGGCTCTTTCGTTGTCATTTCTCGTTGGCTCGTTAGGAATTATGTCATTTGGCACGTAATCAGAATCAGCATCAGTACTAGAAAATGTGTAAGGATAAAGTAACTAAAATTAACTTACAATATAGTGCCTTACTTGTAGGGTGCAATTGGCCAATTTTTAGATCTTTTTCCCAAGCAACCACCTGCCTTTAAGAGACAACTTCTGCCAAATCTGCCTCCTAACAATAAAGAACTGATGCCACTGATGGTCTGACGTTCTTATACACAAAAAGAAAAATAATTGGTTAGTAATTTATGGAAATAATTATTGAGGCTTGGAGGAGTTGATAAAAACAAACATTTTATCTTCAAACTAGCTTTATTTAAATTTACATTATTTATTATTTATTTTCACGCTTCCAATAAACCACCTCCAATATTGTCAATAGATCTCTCAGCCAAAATACTGCTACCTCCAATCCCGTCCAAATTTCTCGAATGCAAAAAGCCACCCCCGATTCTATCCAGTCGCCTTTCGGCCAATAAGTTGTCACCTCCAATACCATCCAAGCCTCTCAAATGAAGCCAACCGCCTCCAATTTTATCTAAACGTCTAGCATTCAATAATCCCCCACCAATACCATCTATAGATCTTAGAATACCACCACCTCCAATATTATCCATGGATCTTGAAGCCAAAAGCCCTCCACCTCCAATACCATCCATTGATCTTGTACCTAAAAGACCTCCACCAATTGAATCTAATCTTCTTGAAGCCAGAAGCCCTCCCCCACCAATACCATCCATAGATCTTGCAGTTAGAAGCCCACCACCACCAATACCATCCATGGATCTTGAAGCTAGAATCCCACCACCCCCAATACCATCCATAGATCTTGCAGCTAGAATACCACCACCTCCAATACCATCCATGGATCTTGAAGCTAGAATGCCACCACCTCCAATACCATCCATGGATCTTGCAGCTAGAATACCACCACCACCAATATCATCTATAGATCTTGCAGCTAGAAAATTGCCGCCAATAGAATCTAATCCTCTAGAGGCTAATAAGCTGTTGCCTCCAATTCTGTCAATGCCTCTATAGCTTAGCATATTATCCCCGCCAATGTTGTCAATGCTTCTATAGTTCCAGTTGTCACCTAAAATAGAAATTCAATTAGATATCTGGATTGTAGGTTTGGATAGTTGGTACTTACACAAAAGACGGACCACGGCACAAACAGAAATTTATAGTGTAAACATTTAAACAAGAAGCTGGAGTTGGATAAGACACGCTGTGAATTTAGTCACTTATTGGATTCAGCTTAAGTTGTATACTGAGTTATCTCTATAACATTTCAATTTCCAATAAAAAATTGAGGTAGGTAATTTGAAAAAAATAAAATAAATAAGAGGCTTTTGTTGTTGAGGGCTCAAACCTACTCGATCCTTAAACGGTTCGAATATAAATAAGTCGAATATTTTCGGGTTACCTACCTCAAAATAAGAAAAAGACATTTAAATGTAAATCGGGCATCTGAAAAAAACCGGAAATTGGCTTTTTGACAAAGTATCCTAAATTGGGATTTTGTCTTGCCTTCTAAACACTCTAAAACTAATTAACTTTTTATGTATTGTTATTCATAAAGCATATAAAAACTCGCAAACATAAAAAAACAAAACTTTTCGCTTTTTACATAAAGCCATTTTTGACACAGAAGAGGCTTTAAAAGTTTTAGAGTGTGTCGTCTCTCTTGGCTGATTGAAAATAGCGCACAACATAAAAATAATCTGAACATAAGGCCTGTTTTTATTGTGCAGTTTTTTATATCGGCAACTGCAACACGCTCTTTACTGAATTAAAGAGAAATTCGATTACCGGAAAATTTATGGACTTTTAAGCTGGATACTCACTTGGACTTTTGATGTCTCCTAAGCTCTTTAATTTGTACTGGTAAAGCTGGAAAAAAAGAAAATTATATACTTTTATTAATTATTTATAAATAAAAATAAGAAGTAATTAATACTAGGTATTTATTTGTTTAATTTAGACTAAGTTCTCTTAGTAGATAGTAATTGTACAGGGTGGTTTTTTATATATTAACACCCCATCTGCATCCTTTACCTTTACAGGTAGAAGAAAGGAGTAAATACAAAAGTTGTACAGTTTTGGCTAAATTTTTAGAAGCCATGGTCAAAAACCAAAATTGAATGTCAAAAATGTGAAATGTTGCATGCTTTCAGCTTTTTTCAAATGGGATGCCCTATATTTGGTTCTATATTTTTGAAGAGTACAATTTCCAAAAATATATAGCTTGTCTATATTTGATTGCGTCTCCAAAATATTTGGTTCTAAAAATTTTAAAAATACCATCAGAGAAACCAAGTAAGTACCTCAAATTTTACCTGCAGCTTTCACCTATGCACAGGTAGAATGGTTCACAGAATCAGTTAGTAGGATAGAGGATAGTATTTTCACAAATTTTGGAGCCGAATATATGAAAGACTGCTCAACCAAATATAGACAATATATAAATTTTTGGAATCGGGGCATTGTGCCCTTCAAGAATGTAGAACTAAATATAGGGCATCCCACTTGAAAAATGCCGAAAGCATGCAAAATTTCACATTTCTGACATTCAATTTCTGTTTCTGACCATGGATTTTAGAAATCTAGCTACAACTGTACAACTTTTGTATTTACACCTTTCTTCTACCTGTAAAGGTAAAGGCTGTAGGTGGGGTGTCAATATATAGAAAAACACCCTGTACAAATAAGTGGATTATTGCGGAACTTATGGGTGGACCGCTGCGGGACGAGCGCAGCGAGTTCCGCAGCCATCTATACTGTTGCATATAGGTACTGTTGAACTGTTCAAATAAGACACTCACCTGAAACGTGTACTTTTTGAACTAATGAGAAAACTTCACAACTAAATGAATCAGGTAAGTATTGTACTTTAACAACATAGTGGTGAATAGATGGCTGGGTCCACCCATAAGTTCCGCAACAATCCGCTCGTTTGTACCTACTTGAATAACTTGTCACAATATATTACTAGTTTAGTAAAGTAATATTGCTAATTCCTGTTGAAAGGCAAATTGACAACAAGTGGATAATCCTTACAAATTCTGATTTTATGTAATAAATTATTGTTCAAGTACAAATAAGTGGATTGTAGCGGAATTTATGGGCGGACCTCTGCGGGACGAGCGCAGCGAGTTCCGCAGCCATCTACTCACCAACATACTGTTGAACTGTTCTAATGAGCATAACTGACATTTGAGTGAGTCAGATTAGTATTGTACTTAAACAACAAATTGATGAATAGATGGCTGCGGAACTCGCTGCGCTCGTCCCGCAGAGATCCACCCATAAGTTCCGCAACAATCCACTCGTTTGCACTCGAAGATAATTGTGACATTTACGAAGAAGATAATTTTGAAATCCTCAACATGGAACAAATGCTACCTCAATATTCCAATCATTACGTAAATAATCCCTTAAATCTTCTACGAACTGATCATTGAAATAAAGAAGAACTCAATGCTTTACAGCAATTATTTATGTCCTGTCCCATGATATTTCATAAATCAGATGAAAAACTGTCATTCACCAATCAGGTAAAACACGAAATAAAGACAACAGACGATATCCCTATTATTCACGTGGAAACTTATGGGGATAGTACCAAGAAATTAGATGCTTCAGGCAAACAAAAATGTAAATTGAAGAAAAAAACGATCGATGATAGATATCCATTGCCAAATATATGTGACATTCTGGACAAGCTTGGCAGAAGTAATTATTTTACATTTCCACTTAGTGAAGATGCACCCAAGTTCAAATCCTAAAACTGCTTTCAACGTAGAAAACGGACCTTATGAATACACACGCATGCCCTTTGGTTTAAAAAACGCCTTAGCCATTTTTCAAATAGTGATGATGTTTTATTTGGACTACAAAACAGAATATCCTCCTTCCTTCAAGAACATATAAAAAAACTGAAATAAATTAGAGCATTTCAATATGAAAATTCAACTAGACAAGTCAGAATTTCTGAAGAAAACAAACCTACAAAATTTAAAATTCTGTCTCAAATCATAATACCACCAAGACCAGCTCAATAAAATGTTCCAGAAGATGTACAAAATATTCTACGTCACTTGAAAATCCTATTTCACCAAGATAACCTCAGAGAAATTCTCCAAAAGATCCAAAAACCATTCATACGTTACTAGAGAACCCTTATACCAAAAAACATACCAATCTCTTTTCTATTCAAATAACAATAACCATTCAAAAAGAAATAATCACACCTTTTCCAAACAAAAAAAGATTAACATTCTTCTTATATACCAAATGACCCTTCAGACTTACAAATCATTACACTAATAAAAAAAATATATGCCACCTAATTATTACATATACCTATTGTATGTTTTTCCATAATAAAACTCTAGAGCCCACGAGTTTTAAACATCGTTTAATTCAAATTCTTTTAAACTTTTAATATTCCAATTCTTTCGTAAAGGACACTGCAGATCCTGAAGAACAAAAAGAAAAGATTCAAATGTTCCACGAAACTGAAACTTCCCATCGCGGAATGACAGAAAACGTATCATCTTTGAAAAAACGATACTATGGCCCAACCTAGAAAAAGACGTACAAGCATACCTATATAAAAGCATGTGAGATATACAATAAAACAAAGTACGAAAGGCACCCTATAAAATAATTTTCAAGACTATCCCTATCGGATCAAGACCCTTCGAACATCTTTACATCGATACTTATACTGTTTTGAATAAAAAGATCTTAACAATTATCAAAGTTCGCTCAAGCTCTTCCTATCACTAGTAAAACATCCATTGAAATTATAGCACAGCTATTAGAATATTTCAGTAATCACGGAATTCCCCAAAGAATCCACCTCCGACAATCGAGCCGAATTCAAAAATGCCATGATTACCGATCTATGCATAAGATTGAATTTCATTACACGACACCTGGAAATCCGAACTCTAACAGTCCAATTGAAAGGTTACACTCTAGTTTACGAAACAGTATAACCAGCTTAAGATTGCAAAATCCACGCAAAAGCATAAACGATCTCATGATTGTTGCTATTTTAAATTATAATAATAGCACACACAGTTTCACAGGATACACCCCACTCCAAATAATCAAAGGAGATGGAAATTATGGAATTCCTATTGAACAATCACAAAACAGAATAACGACGGATTATATCAATAATCTCGCTGACTGTTTAGAAATTCTAAATAACGTTATCCACGACAAACTAATAACAAAATAAACGCAAAATTTAGAGGAGAAATCAATAAAAAACGCGAAACAGAACCCCAACTAGAACACCCTATTTTTATCAAACAATTTGATAGAAATAAAACTAACCCTCGTTATGACATCAATACTCAATTACAATTCAGTAGACAAAACGTAAAACTACAACCTAAACAACCAAAACAGTTTGCTCAGACCAACCAAAATGTTCCTGGCAACATTCGTCATCCTCATCATCGTATAGGAACCACAACCAATTCTTACATATTAAGACCAGTAGGAACCCCTATATATTACTAATATCGAGAGGAATGACCTATATAACAAACAATCATAATACTGCATTCTACCATCACAACTATTATAAAAGACAAGTATTAGAAATCTTGAAATAACGCTTAAGAATTTGAACAGAATTTGAATTTAACCAAACTGCTTGGTCTAAAGATTATATTATGCTGCTCTATGCGGAGCAAATATTGAAATAAGTCAATCACGAATTGAGAAAATAAAGAAATTCCTAAAGCAATTTTCCTCGCGAAGTAAACGTGGAATCATTGGCGCCGACTACATGGGAGCATTGGGGCAGGTGCACCTATGAGCAACCTCTCATGGGTGCTGCGCACCCATGGGAAATCATGGGGGATCTCGTAGGGATTGCGGAAGTACAAACGTGTTTATTGGTCATTCCGTTCCATGTGGTAGCATCAGTATCATGTAATTTAAATTTACACAACTTTGTATAAGAATTATACAATGGCCGAGTTCGTTTTTGTCATCTTTTTCGTCGATTTCCTCCGAAATTTTGGCCAGCACGTGATTTGTAAATTGAAACTGCCTATCAAAATTTCGGACCAAATCGACAAAAAAGATGAAAACGAACTCGGCCTATGCAAGTGGTATTAGTATTCTGTCCTTCCGTTATGTGGTCAGTTCTATGCTCTATTATTGTTCGTCGATTTTAATCTGATACTCGGACGGAATGTAAGCTGGTGGCTCCCTACATTTAGAACGCCAATGGTTACCTGACGTCACACCTGTTTTTGCCATATGAAACACCCCCTCGCTCCTCATACCGCAAGTATCAGTTAAAAATCGACGAACAATAAATAGGCGTTATGGGCAATTTTTTGCGAGGAAAACCAAGCATACTCTATTATGCTAAGATGTTATGTATCAATTTTGTCATACTCCCCTAACTTCCCCACTATTAAATTCTGGAATACTCGAGGATCAAGAACACTTAACTTTTTCTGTGAGAACAGACTGAAAATAATCCTTTCTTCATTTAAAATCGAGAAAAAAATTAACTCACTAGCACAGTCTGAATGGTAAGCATTCCATCGAGGTCTGCGAGTGACGTCATCACTATGAGATGCTGATAGTGACGTCATTCGCAGTCCCAGAATTAGTTGGGGAGGGAGTTAGGGGACTGTGACACAATTCACACATAACATTTGAGCATATTCAGATTATATTTGGTTTGATTATCCTCGCGAAAAATTGCCTTTTATGTTGCTGCTATTCTCCATCTCTATTTTTTGATAATAAATAATCGGGACAGTTCCACGCACAACGGAAAGTCCCGATATTTTATATTCGATATATCGAAAAAATATCGATATAATCTTCTCGATACATCGCGGATCTTT